GCGGTCGTGGGCAGGGGAAAGGGGCGCGCCCCTCGGCGAGCTGGGCCGCGGACTCGCCGCCCCGCGCGGCGCGCCGAGCCGCTTGCGATCATCGGCGGTGGTGCGATAATGAGACGCCGCAGTGAGGCGAGCACCGCCTAGGTTCCAGAGTATGTCAGAGCACGTTTTTATCTGTTTGGGAATTGTAGGCATTTTGGTGCTGTGAGTGAGTGACGCACACCTAGATGGCGCGGTATACGTGGCGCGATCTATGTTGCGCAATCGATGGTGCACAACATATGGTGTGCGACCGATAGTGTGCAGCGCATCTGGTGCAACCTATGTTGTGCGGTATATGATGTGTAACATAGGTCGTGCAATCTATGTGGTTCAATATTGGTGGTGCAATCTATGTGGTGCGACCTATTTGCTGTGGCCTATGCTGTGCAATCTATGCGGTGCAATCTTTGCGGCGCGACCATGGCATTGCAGTCTATGTTGCGCAGTCTGTTGGGCAACCTACGTGGTGCAATTCCCTGTTCGAATTTGAATGGCCAGCCCCGCTGCCCGCGCAATCATCCCACACACCCACCCGCAATTTGGTTTGCAAAACCCATGCGGGAGCGATTTCGATGAGTGCTGGGCGTTGGCTGGTGCATCTCTACGGTCGCGCATGCTCGCGCGCGCAGCGGCCAGCTAGTTCGGCGCGACCGACGCGAAAGCGGTGGCGCTGACCGAGCACTTCATTGCGAGTCGGCGACGTTGGCGGGCGCGGTATCATGGCGTCGTCGACACCGGTGGACACGATGATGGTAGTAGTGATGCTGGTGACGATGCTGACAGCGACGACGGGGCAGCCAGTGACGGCGCCGATGCTGATCACGGTGACGACGATGACGGCGCTTTCGCGTCGGCGAAGAAGGTTTTGGGAGGAATTCGAGATGCGCGCGCAGCAGACGCGCGAGAGTGGCTCGCATGGTATCATGTGACACGGATCGTGCCACCCCAGCACGCGCGCAAGGGCGTTCGAACGATTTCGACATGCGCGCGCGTGAAGCCCGTTCGGTCGCAGATTATGAAAATGTTTAACCTTGCATGGCTGTCTTAAGATTTTGCAAGAGCGCGCGCGTAAGCTTTCTTAGAACATCTGCGGTGCGAAGCCCTGCCGATTTTTATGTTTTTTTGGGGAAGCTCGATTTTGAAATCCTTCCGAAACCGATGGGTTTTGAATGATTGCGGCATGCGTGCGCGACGACGCGCGCGCGCACTTCGTCCCATTTTTTACGAGAGATCCTTGAACAATTGTGATTTTTGATAAGCGGGTGCGCGCATAGTTTTTGTTGGCAGAGGATGGCGAGGGGGCGATGCAGGCCTGGCTGGGATAGTATGAACTCACAGGCAGGATGGGCGATAGGGCAGAACCATATGTAAATTGCAATACGAAAAAGGTAAATCGATGTGGTAGAACTTCTTTTTCTAGAAAGGAGAGCTTCTGTGGCGCAGTTGATTTTAACAAACGAGTTGGCACATCCCGTGCTCTTGCAAACATCCCACCCACCCACCCGTAACTTGGCTTGCAAAACCCATAAAGTGGCGATTGCGATGCATGCTCGGCGTTGGCTGGTGCGTCTCTGCGGCCGCGCCAACCCAAGCACGCGCGCGCGCAGCGGCCGGCTGGTTTGGTGCGACCGGCGCGGCCGCGGTGGCGCTGATCGTTGGGCACATACCAGCGGGCAGTTCATTGCGAGTCGGCGACTTGGGCGGGCGCGGTATCATGGCAACGGCGACAACAGTAGACGTCGCTGGCGGGTCTCCAACGACTTCGACGACAACGACGACGACAGCGACGACGACGACAACACCGACGACGACGACGACGCCGACGACGACGACGATAACAACGCCGACGACGACGACGCCGCCGACGACGACGACGACGACGACGACGCCGACGACGGCGACGACGGCGACGACGACGACAGCGGCGACGAAAACGACGAAGCCGACGACGACGACGACGTCGCCAACAAAGACGACGACGACGAGGGAGAAGGGAGGACGACGATGGCGACGACGACAACGACGAGGGAGGAGGGATGACGACGACGACGACGACGACCACGACGACGGCGACGAAATAAGAGGGACAACGACGAAACGCCGACGAAAACGACGATGGAGGAAGGACAACGGCGACAACGACGACGGAAACGACGACGACGCGAAGACGACGACGACGACGAGGAAAAACAGAGGACGACGACGACGACGAAGAAAAACAGAGGACGAGGACGACGACGAGGGAGGAGGGAGGACGGCGACGACGACGACGACGCAAGAGCGCGCGCGCGCACGGTTTTGTTTAAAGCTCGTGTTGCGAAACATTGTTTTTTGTATGTTTTCTGCACCCACGATTTTGACATTTCTCCGAAATCGAAGGTTGTTGAAGGATTTCAGCATGCGCGCGACGACGCGCGCGTCTGCACTTCGTTTCATTTTTCGGAGAGGATTCTCGCGACGGCACAAGCGCAAGGGCTTTCGAAAGATTTCGACATGCGCGCGCGAAGTCCATTTGGTCATACTTATTGAATATATAGGAAAACCGATGGTTTTCCCAAGATTCCGCAAGAACGCGCGCGTAAGTTAGTTTTAGAACATCAGTGTTGCGAAACCCTGAGTTTTTGTATGTTTGTTGGAAAGCCGATTTTGAAATCCTTCCGAAACCGTAGGTTTTTGAAGGATGCCGGCATGCACGCGCGACGACGCGCGTGTGCGCTTTTCGTCCCGTTGTCTTGCAAGGGATTCTTGCAAGTTCATGATTTGTGATGAACGAGTGTGCGCGCATAGTGTTTTTGTTGCAGAGGATGGGTGTGGGGGGGCGATACCGGCTTGGCTGGGATAGTGCGCTTTCATATTTAGGATGGGCGATGGGGCAGAGTCATATGTAAATTGCAATACGAAAACGTGGCCCGTTAACTCCTGGGGGGGGAGTACATTCTTCTTTTAGAAAGGAATAATATACATATATATATATATATATATATATATGCGTGGTGCAATTCACTTCGACTGTCTTCAAGCTGTCCTCCCCATTGCTCGTGCAAACATCCCACCCTCCCACCCGCAACTTGGTCGCAAGTCTTCTTAGAACCATGATGATATACCTAACGGCACTTGGCAACGACACCGACGACGACAGCGACAACGACTACGACGACACCGACGACATTTCCAACGACTTCGACGACGACGAAAACAACGACGACGACGACGACGACGACAAGGACGACGACGACGACGCCGACGACGACGACGGCGATGACAACGCCGACGGCGACGACGACGACGGCGACGACGACGACGGCGACGACGACGGCGCCGACGACGACGGCGACGCCGGCGACGACGACGACGACGAAGACGACGACGACGACGGCGACGACGAAGACGACGACGACGAGGGAAGAGGGAGGACGACGACGGCGGCAACGACGACAACCAAGAGGGAGGAGGGAGGACGGCGACGACGCGAACGACGACGAGGGAGGAGGGAGGACGGCAACGCCGACGACGACAACGACGAGGGAGGAGGGAAGACGACGACGACGACGACGACGACGACGGCGACGGCGACGACGACGGCGACGAAATAGGAGGGACGACGACGAGACGCCGACGGCGACGACGACGACGAGGGAGGAGGAAGGACGACCACGGCGACAACGACGACGGAAACGACGACGACGCCAAAGAGGACGACGACGACGAGGAAAAACAGAGGAGGACGACGACGACGACGACGAGGGAGGAGGGAGGACGGCGACGACGACGGCGCAAGAGCGCGCGCACGCTTTTGTTGAACATCCGCGTTACGAAACCCCTTTTTAAAAACAAAAACTGTATGACACTCGATTTTGAAATCTTTCCGAAACCGAAGGTTTTTGAATGATCTCGGCATGCGCGCGCGACGACGCGTGCGTCTGCACTTCGTCTCATTTGTTGCACAGGTTTCTCGCGACGGCACAAGCGCAAGGGCGTTCGAAAGGTTTCGACATGCGCGCGCGCGAAGCCTGTTTGGTCGTATTGTTTGGAAACTATTGAAAACGCATGGCTTTCTTAAGATTTCGCAGGGGCCCGCGCGTAAGCTTTTTAAGAACATCAGTGTTGCGAAACCCTAAATGTTTGTATGTGTTTTCGGTAACTCAATTTTGAAAGCCGTCCGAAATGGGAGTTTTTTGAATGATTTCGGCATGCGCGCGCGACGACCAGCGCGTGCGCACTTCGTCCATTTTTTTGCAAGGGATTTGTGCAATCCTGTGATTTTTGATAGAGTGCGCGCAGAGTTTGTTTTGCAGAGGATGGCGGGGGGACCGATACTGGCTTGGCTGGGATAGTATAAATTCGTAGGTAGGATGGACGTTGGGTCAGAATCCCAGTTGTTTTGCATCGGTTCCCGGGGGGTCTTTAACCCCGGTGGGGAGGGTGGTATTTATCTTGTGAAAGAGAGAAGAATCAGTCACTTGCTCAACTTGAAGCTGTCCTCTCCACTGCTTGTGCAGACATCCCACCCTCCCGCCCGCAACTTGGTCGCAAGACCTCTTAAGACCGTGACGGTGGGTACCAAATGGCACTTGGCAGCGACACCGACGACGACAGCGACAACGACGACGACGACGACGCCGCCGACAACGACTACGACGACACCGCAACGTTTCGCTCCCGCGCTGGGTGCGATTGCTGAGCGAGCCCTCTCGAGAAGCACCCCGAGCTGCAGCAGCGCGAGCAGCAGGTGGCACAGAGAACAAGGCCGACGACGGACAGACGTGCAGACAGAAGTACACTGGCGCTTTCGCGCGTGCGTGTACATGCCGCATGCACACACACGTGCACTCGTTTCCATGCGCGTACCTGGCACACACGCACGGAAACTGCTAGACAAGTCAGACAGGCTCAAGAGCCTCGATGGACCGCCAGAGTTTGCCACAGCTCTTGTTCTCTCGCCTCCCCTTAATCGGGGCCAGTCTCCGCGTCCGTCTTTCCCGTCATGAGGACCAGTCTCCACTTGCTTAGGCCATTCTCGCTGTTGCTCTTTCGCGCGCGAGGTGAGGCAATTCGGTGACCGCTGCCCGTAGTACGACTCCTTGCAAAAACAGCATGTGATCGTCCAGGGGGGACGAATGCAGGAAGACGGACGTAACAAGCAAGAGGATGGCAGGATGACCAGGAATTGCCTGAATCGAGTGCACACGAATTTGTACTGTCGCTCCCCTCCAGCCACCCCGTCCCATTCCGCCGGTCCGGAGTGGCATCGGCCGTCGATTCGCGCCACTCCGCAGCCGCTCCCGGGAGCGAGGCGCGTCGGCTGTCGTGCAGCAGCTCCAGGGCCAGACATCCGACGATCCTAGTTTTTGTTCGGGTCGCCGACCCGTGGAGCTCCACCTCCCCAGGGTTGGTGTTCCATCACGGGTCGTGACTGATGGCCCCGGGGCCCAGGCCCAGAGGAGGCCCACCGACGCCGAACATTGAGGAAACACATGGGCGTGATTTGCTCGAGCCACCCGAAGTCCGGGTGCCGCTGTTTTTCGGCCGCGGGGGGCCTCGTCGCAGACGTTTGCGGGGGGGCGCAGGCCGGCCGAAGGAGTCCCCGGGCGACATGCCGCCGCCAGCCGCAGCCTTGCTGCGTCGCCATCACCTCCATCGCCCAGCCGTCGCGGGACAATGCAGAGGGAGGGAGGGAAAGAAGGAAGGAGGGGGCGGGAGGAGGAGGAGGAGGAGGAGGAGGAGGAGGAGGAGGAGGAGGAGGAGGAGGAGGAGGAGGAGGAGGAGGAGGAGGAGGAGGAGGAGGAGGAGCGCGCGCACGTGGAGGGGGAGGGGGAGGAGGAGGAGGAGGAGGAGGAGGAGGAGGAGGAGGAGGAGGAGGAGGAGGAGGAGGAGGAGGAGGAGGAGGAGGAAGAAGAGTCGCGAGCCCATGGAGCGACGCGCCGAGTCGGAGGAGTGACGGATGAGAGCGGCAGGAAAAGGCGAGACGAGCGCGATCGAGCACAGAACGTTTCGGGGCCCCAGGGCGCACAAGGCCCAGCCGAAGCATCCCGGCCGCAACGAGAGGCCCGTGGAAGACAGCCCAGAATCTAAGGCGAAGCTGAGGCGACGAACGAAACACAAGACCGACGAGTTGCATGGACTATGCCATGCTATGGATATCAGGCTGAGCCACTGGACAGCGTCGTCCGTGGCTGGGAGCCTGCGAGGAACAGGGAGGGGAGGGGCCGTCCCTCCCTTGGGGTGGATGCCCTGCATAAAGAGGTCCCTCCTCCATTTCCTCCGGGGATCACAATGAAGGGCAGCCTCGGGATCACAGTCGCGGAAGAGTTGGGCTCGCGCCGTGCTGGCCGAGAACGCCCCACACCTGCTGCACCCCACGAGGTCCACCGAATTGTGCAGCACATGCCCCCTGGCGCTCGCGGGAGGAACCTCCCCCAAAGCACGGCACGGGGGCTCTCGGGACCACCGAGTCGGCACGAGAGGGCGGAGTGCCCTTCCACGCTCGCTTCGCCCCTCGCGAGACCGCAGCTTCCACGGCTCTCCTGACGGCCAGCTGGGGCCGCTCTGGCCCCTCCAGGGCCTCCGCAAAACGAACCCTCGACCGAGACGCGATGGGGGGAGGAGGAGGAGGAGGAGGAGGAGGAGGAGGAGGAGGAGGAGGAGGAGGAGGAGGAGGAGGAGGAAGTGGAATAGGTGGAGAAGGAGAAGGAGGAGGAGGAGGAGAAGGAGTAGGAGGAGGAGGGAGGAGGAGGAGGAGGAGGAGGAGGAGGAGGAGGAGGAGGAGGAGGAGGAGGAGGAGGAGGAGGGGAGGAGAGGAGGAGGAGGAGGAGGAGGAGGAGGAGGAGAAGGAGGAGGGGAATAATATGAGAGAGGAGAGGGGGAGGGAGAGGGAGGAGGAGGAGGAGGATGATGAGGAGGAGGAGGAGGAGGAGGACAAGAGCAACGTAAGATGTATCAACGATGATCCGTAGCCATTTTGGCTTACGGACGAAATCGTCGCCATGCGGTTTCGTGCTTGACCGCAGCTGAGAGGCTGGTACAAGGCAGGGCGCCTCAGGGTACACCGCTCGATCCCTGCCTCACCTCGAGCGACCGCAGTTTCTTATTTCAAGTTCTTTTCAGTGATGCCCAGGAAACAGATCAAAGGCAATGGTGACTGGCTGCGCAGCTGCTGGGGCTGCCCCAACAAGCGATACCAGATCAAGGACGACTGCGAGTAGCGCTCGGTGTGCTACGTGTGCGCGACGCCCAAGCCCAAGACCTCTCTAACAGCTGATCTTCGTCCTCCTGGCGGGGCTTGGAACAAGCGTGCTCTGTCTGACGAAGAGTTCCGTTCTGGGCTCCAGCTTGACGAGGCCACCTTCCGCGCCCTGTCACCGTCTCTGCCTCATGCTCTGCGTGACAGGCCGTTGCGCCGTCGCGCCATGGCTGCTGCAGGCCTCGCGGGGCCCGTCACGGGCGCCGCGCAGTCCGCCCAGGACGTCGGTCAGCTCTTGGCCCAGCTGTGCGGCGCCACGTCTCGATTGGAGAAGGCGATGGCACTGGCCCAGGCGGCGGTCGTCAACGTCGCGACGGCCCAGGATGAGGCGGATGAGCTGCAGGAGATCTACGAAGCAGTTCACACCAACGCGGCTGGCACGCTGGCTGGCGGCCCCTCAGCCTGCAGTCGATCAAGGACAGCTACATGCAGCCAGTCAAGCGCTTGATGGTGTCGTGGGAGTCCCAGCGGCAGGTGGCGGCCCAGCGGCTCAGCTGGCGCGGGCCCGGAGGGCTGTTGGACGGGGCTAGGGCGAGGACAAGTCCGTACCGGAACGCTGTGAGAAGGCCGCGGCGCCCGATACATCTTCCAGAGCCGCCGGGTCTCAGAAATTCTCGATCCTTCCTCACCCGAATTTATCCTCGGCCTGGCTTCGTCTTCGGCTGTGCAGCAGGCCCTCGGAACCATGGGCCCAGGCCAGGCGCCAGGTGCGTGCAAGGGGATCGTCCCACCTCCGCCGCGAGGCTTGGCGGCAGGCGCGCCGCCACCGCCCGCGCCACAGCCTGGCGCTGCCCAGGGCGATGCTCATGTAGGGACCCCAGCAGCCCTGGAGAGGCGAGCGGGGGAGCCTGCGCAGCTTGCGCCGCCAGCCGCCATGGCGCTGGCCACCCCAGCGCCGCCCCGGGAGCTGGTCCGGTGGCGTGCCCAGGACGGTGGTCGTCCAGCTGGTGCAGCTTGGGAGGCAGCAGGCATGTCCGATGATGATCTCGACGACGTGACGTCACGCGGGCGCTGTGCTTCGGGAGACAGTCAGTCACGTTCACGCGCCATTCAGGCGATCGCAAACATGTATAAAAAGGGGGCGTGGATTAGCGAGAGGTCCCGTTTCCACGTGAAATCGCGGGTTTCCACCGCCGAGCGAGGCGGCGCCGGCCGCATTTTGGGTAGGGCACCTTCCCCATTCATGGATTTGGCGGCCGTGCGCCAAATCCATAGATCGCTAATCCATGTTTGCGCGCCCCCGAGCAGTTGCCGAGGAGGCGGTCGCAGGGGCAGCGGCTGCTGGCGCTCTTCGCCAACGCAGTGGATCCCAGAGCAGAGATGGTCGCGATGCCGAGGTCGCCTCAGCCCCCGCAGCCCCTGGAGGCGCCAGGCTGCCGGCAACCAGGCGCCCAGGAAGGGCCAGCGGCGGCAGTTGGCCGGGCCAGGAGTGGGGTATTTACCACGTCCAATACTACCATTAAGTCGGGCCTGTCACTCTACAGGAGGAAAAATTGCTAGAAAAAAAAAAGTAAAAAAATAGTCAAGGGACGATTTTTGGGGGAAAAAATGACTATTTGGGAATCTGTTTTAACATGTTTTCACTTTTCCTCCAAAATCCGCCTGTCCGGGGACATGCCCGACCTAAACCAAGCGCCCAGGAAGGGCCACCGGCGGGAGTTGTCCAGGCCAGGAGTGGGACATTTACCACGTCCACTACTACCAGTTGGAGTAGCTGTCAGCACTTCCTTCGATCCGAAGCTGGAGGGGGTATCGTTCTGTTTCAGGAGGTTACCGTCGCCAAGCAAGATCGTAGCATGGCGGGGGCGTCCTTGTGCAAGCTCCGTTGGAAGATTAAGGCCTCGCCGTCTCGGGACACGGGGGGTCTCTCCTCCTCATGGGCCGCTATCGCGGTCAGGCCACACATAGGGCGCGGAGGGGATCTCATTCCTAAGTGTCCTTGGCCTCCGGAGTGAGTAAGTTTGATGTGGGTCAACGGGCTCCTTTGCGGAGGCTTCCAGGTGGGCCCCATCTACCTCGTCACGGGGCGATGTCTCGTTCGGATCCAACGGAATCTGGGGGAGGGGCGCAAATCTTCGGGGCAGCCGTTCATTCTGGGAGGCCACTGGAATGTTGAACCATCGGCTTTGCTGGAGTATGGTAGACGGCCTCGCTGCGGGACCCGAGCGTTTCACCTGGGACTTGCACATGCAGAGGTTCTGGATCCAAGTGGGACACTCTGGATAAGTGTGTGGTCTCAGCGGGGGTTCTTCCTAGTGTCACAGGGTGCGTTCGCCAAGATGATGCCACGACGAGTCTGCATCGGGCAGTGAGACTCCGCACTTCAGGAAAACCATCCTCAGTTCATCGTCCCACCTTCAGGTTGCCCACGCAGTTTCCCGTCCATCTCCCCTTTGGCCCCCGACCTGACGGGCTAGACTGGGGTCGCGCGCTCTCGGTGGTCAAGACAGCAGCTCAGCCCAGTGACCAGGCCAATGCTCATTTCTTCGTCTGCGACCAGGCGGAGGCGGAGCGGAGCCTTTTCGCGTTTCCACCAGCACTCCGCGCAGGGGGCCGTGGGGCATGCTGGAAGGGAGAAAAGGAGCACAGGTTGTCACCGGCTCGGTTTTACCAAGGTCCAGCGGGTTCCTATCCTCAAGTTTCGGCGGAGGCACGCGCCTGGAGGCTGATGTCTCATCGTTTGCAACTCGTATTGTTCGTGTTTTTCATTGGGGTTCGCGGGTTCTGGAACCGGCCCGGATCTCAATCGGTTTTTCAAAAGAATGTGCGAATGGGCTTTGAGCGACTATCGGGGCATTCTGTTGACCGCCAGATATCTAAAGTGGTCAAGCAGAACAGCGCTTCCTCGTCGAGAGGGGCCGGCGCGGCCCCGACAGCGCCACGCGCTTGCACGCTAGGTTAGTGTAGAGGGCGGGCTCTCGCCCACGGCCGAGTCAGAGCGGCAGGAGTTGTGCGGCGCGCTTTGAGTGTAAGCGTAGGTCGGGCCTGTCCCCCTAAAGGGGGACTCTGGGCGAAAAATTGTAAGTACCTTGAAAATAACCCAAATATGTTCAAACATAGTCAAGAAATCGTCACGTTTTGGCTATTTGTTGGTGTTCCTCCTGTAGAGGGAAAGGCCCGATTTAAGTTAAACCCCTTGGAACCGATCTGGAACTTGAGGCTTTCGTCGGCATGGCGTTGAGCCACGCCAAGAAGTTCGAGTCCCATGCGGCCAGGGGTCGAGCCAGCAGCGGGAGGAGAACCGTCGCCAGCGCGGCGATTGGGGGGAGGAGGACCCGCGCACAGGATCTCTCACCCCTCTTCAGCGGGCCCTTGACGAGGCCTCTCGATCACCCCAGGAGGAGCCTGGGGAGGCACTGACGCTTTACTTCACGATTTGGAGGTGGAGTGGAAGGCATCTGGAGCCGGGAGTCCAGGGAGCGGGAGGGATCGCATCATGCAGTTCACGCAGCAGATAGCAGGCTTGGGTCTCCCACCGTGCCCCGATCCTCCTGAGTCCGACAGGCTCAGACAGGTCCTGCGTCGCTTCGAGTGTTGGGCAGCTGTCGGCGCAGACGGTGGCCACTCGCACGTTCTTCTTCCGTTGCCCGACGACGAGCTTGGAGGATCTAGCCCAAGAGCTGCGGCGCATCGAGAGACTCGCCCCTTCCCTTTTTTCAGCCTTGGAAGGTTACCATCGGTTTTCTGCAGAAGCCTGACGAATGAGATCCATAATTTGGCATCCTTACCACTCGTCGTCGCATTCTTGGGTCCCTTCGGCGCGGAGGCGCGGCTTCTCGGGAGGGCGCCTCGCCGAGAGAGTGTGCCCGCAGGGTTGCGGGCAAATCGTCGCGCGAGCAAGCGGTTGGGAGGCAGTCGTCGGCTTCCCACTGAGCTCACTAGCGCAAGCAGGCCTCAGCGAGGGCCCATGTGGACGTCCATAAGGCTTACGAGATAGTTCAGCAGCCTAGGCTTCTGCGTCGTGTCCAAGAGCTTGACTTTGATATTCGACCTTTCGCCCTTCCTATTGTTATGTATTAGCGGCTTTGGGCGTTGCAAATTGGAATACATGTGTATACGTGAATATATGTTTGCACACTGTCTTGAGGTCTTTCGGGCCAGTCAAGGCACCATCGCAGACTGTGCGTTCGCCACCACGTTGCTGCGCGCACTTTCGTTGCCGAGTATCGATCAGGTCCTCGCGGCGGGAGCTCTCACATGATACGTGGCAGTCGACGACTGTGCACGCTTGTTGCGACAGGAAGGCTGGCTACGGTTCACCGCCACTTGTCCAAGGGCGCGAATCGCATGTGCCACCAGCTCGAGGACCCCGTTCTCAAAGTGCCCAGAAGGAAGTGCCAGCTCACTGCCTCGCGCCCCGGGCCCCTCGCCCGAAGGCCGCGCTCGCGGAACTCCCCGGGGGCCTGGAGCCAAGAACCTCGGGGTCGACTTGCTCGAAGGTTTCAGGGGTCAGGAGGGCCACTCAGTCTACCAGGATCGCTGGAGTTCGCAAGCGAGTTCGACGCCATCGGCTTCTGAGTTCGGCCAGGACAGGTCCAAGCCATGTTTTCAGAGCTGGAGGGCCAGCGGCCCTGCGCGGAGTTCGGGCCACGTGGACTTTTACGACAGCGTTGGCACGCTTTCGGGCCACTGCGGCAAGTGCAGTGTTTGGCCCGGCGGCCGCCCGTTCTCGCTTGCTCTTCAGTTTGCGTAGTCGAGCGCCTCTCCTCGAAAGGGACCCGCGTTCGCTGCCAGCTGGTTGCCGCCGACCGTCCGGTCTCGGGCTGCCGCAGAGAGATGGATCTCCCTTGCCCGCCCTGCTACACCTTAGGCGATGCTTAAGAAAACTTCAGTTTTCGGCCAGAGTCTCGATTATTCTTAATGTTTCAATGTAAATCTCAAGATTGTATGGAAATGTTGGGTTTTTTTATTCCAGTTCTGAGACTATGAATTTCTGAACCCATGATTTCTTAAGCATTTCGCAGGGTGTAGCGTTTTCCAGCGCGCGCTGGTTTCGTGCAGCGGAGAAGTTCGAGGGCCTGCGCTCCGGCATCTGAGGGAAGGTCTCAAGGCGGGCAGCGCGGCGTTATCCACCCACGCGGCAGGAGGATAGCGAACTCAGCACAGGCGTTTCACGCCAGGTCGGTCGCGACACTGACTTGCAGAGCGTCTCGCCAGGAGTTCAGCGTCTCCGCCCATCGCTGGTTTAGGCGTGTCTGGGGATCGAAGCAGTCGCGGCGGCGGGCGCTGCTCGTGAGTTCGAAGATCCGCCATTGCTGCACTGTCTTATCGATGCCAGGTTTCGCATCAAGCCCCCCATCCTGCAGACGTGTCCGTCTTTCAGGGACGGCACGTTCGTTGGGGGAGTATTCGTGGGGCTGGAGGCCATCGATGGGTCGTCGCTGGATCCCGACCTTCCCCAGCGTTCTCGCGGAGGGTGTCCCGTCGTTTCAGTTGATCAGCAGGGTCACTCGCAGGGAGATCTGTTCTGACTTTTGTTACCGCTTGTCAGGAAATAGAGCTGGCTGAGTTGTGGGCCTGTACCAGTGCTTGGGTCTGCGCCGGGCTCGTCTCACCATGATGGTGGACTGTCAGGCCATCCTCGACGGCCTCTCTGCTGGCCGAACTCAGCGCTGCCACCCAGTCGCGTCCTCTCGGAGGTCCAGCACAAGATTTGGTGCAATATCGAGGATGTGGGTCTTGATGTGTTCCAGGTCCTTTGGGTCCCAGCCCGCCAGTTTTGGGCGGGGGCTCAGAGGCGAGAAGCCCCTTAGCTGGAATAAAGAGACAACAAGTTGGCAGATCAGTTTGCAAAGGCAGGAGCACGCAAGCACCCATATGATGCGGTGTGGGCTCATCGAAGAGGGCTTGCGTGGTAGGAAGCTCGGCATGTGGATTATAACATTGCCCGTGTGATGCACATTATGTCTCTGTCGGATGTCCCTGATGCTGACAAGCCCCGTCTCAGACGTGTGGCCGATCTTCTCTATGTTATTATTTCAGACCCGAGGCCATAGGCTATAGCGGCCCCAGATCGGGTGGGGTTGCACGGCTTGTGGGAAGCTTTGGAAGTTAGGGCGCTCGTCACTTCGAGGCCGTGCCCAGGGGCCCTCGACATGCTCAGCAAGGCTCACCCTTCTCGCAAGTTGTGGTGAGCGGGTGGTGGGACTCGTCATTTGGCCTGGCATTCTAAGCGTGGCGAGCACGGTGCCCAGCAGGCTCTCAAGGTTGCTGAAGAGTGTCGGCTTCCCATTGTTTGGGGGCAGATCTTTGAAGGCCCTCAAGCATGGCAAGCATCCGTCGTCTGGCGCTCTAATGCCGCGGTCCTTCCCCGCCGCCGTTCGCCTCGAGCTTTGGGAGCTCGGACGGGTGGAGGGTTTCTACGAGGTCGCAGATGAGACACGAGACCCCGAGGTATAGTACGGTCTCCCTTGACCGCGTGCTCGCCATCGTGGGTGTTCTCGTTTTCTCTTTCGGGTTGTCTTTTTGTTCTCGGCGAAGCGCGCCCCCACGGTGACGAAAATGGCATTCGCGCGCCACCCGCGGAAGGCGTTCGGCTGGCCCCCGCGGTGGCGAAAGTGGTATCCGAGGCACCCGCAGATGGGACTCATCGTGGACATGTGGCGTTTCCCTCGAGGGGGGCGCCTCCAAGGAAGTGGAAAGTAGAAAGATGGATGCACGATTATGCAAGACACCCTCCTGTCCCAATTCCCCTCCTCGCCAGTCCTTGCAAGCATTCTTTTTTCACTACGTGAGGCGCCCCCGTTGTAAGGCGAGCGCCCCATGGCCCTGCGAGTCAGGCGAGAGCGCCGGTTTGAAGAAAACCGCGCGCCATCTTTCGAACTACAGTGGAGGCCCGACCACCAAACAAACCTTCCACAAGAAACCTAACCCCGAGACCCCAGGACGTCCGTTGTTTTTTGGCGTGGGAACGCCACGCTTCCCACAGCAAAGCCATCGAAGCCCAAGAAACCCAGGGCACCCTGGAGGCAAGCAGGGTGCTTCTTGGCATGAGCCTCCACCTGCAGAAGGAGTGCGACAGGCTCGGGCTTTTTTGAAGGTCAGGGAGGTGCCCAGCGGGGCAGCCCCGCTTTCCCGCAGGAACCGCACGGCACCTGCGCAGTTGGTGAACATGTTCCCAAATCTGGTTTGAAAGCCAAGCGAAGTTCAGTATCGTTTCACCGATCTCCATCCCCATCCTCATCCCCATCCAGACCCCCACCATCTCATCCCGCCAGTTGGGGATATACCTTTCGAAATCTGACAGGAACTGCCCATATCCCCATCTAGGGGGGTAACCCTGCCTATATCCCCCAGAAACTGCCTGTACCCCATTTGACAGCCAAGCGAAGTCTCAGGCGAGAGCCGAATTTGAATATGAACCGCCTTCCATCCGTACCCACAAGTGTGCAGTGGTGGTGCTATGGCTGAGGAAACAAGACGTGCCAGCCTCCATCCGTGCGGGGCTGTTAAGACGACAGCGCGCAGCGCTAAGGCGAGAGCCACATTTAGAAAGCCACCGACTGAGACAAGTGAGACGAACGTGCGCGGCGCTAAGGCGAAAGCCACAGGTTGGAGACGAGAGGCTTTCCACCCGTGTAGTTCCCAGAAGCCCTAGGATACGGGACGGTGCATCGGAAGGAGGTCCCAAGCGAAACGCCACGCCCGGCCTCGGGACACACATGGCGGTGCGACAGGGAGGAGCTGTGCATAGAGAGGAGTGGAGGACGACGATTCGGCCCTGGTGTGTCCCTCCCGACTGCGTGAGTTTGTCGCAGCGTGGGGCTTTGGAGCTCTCGGACCACCCCCGCGGACCAACGTTCCGCCCAGGGGTCGTTTCTATCATCAGAAACGTCCCCCTGGAGGCCCGGATCGAAAAAGCATTAAGTCGGGCCTGTCCTTCTACAGATGGAACGTTCAAAAATAGTCAAAAATTCGTCATGGACGGTTGTCCTACTATGTTTAGATATTTGTAGAGTATGTTTTGATTATCTTTAATATTTCACCCAAAATCCGCCTGTAGGGGGACATGCCCGACCTAAAAAAAGCATCGACTTTCATCATCCAGCTGGCTGCGGCAAGTCTCACAACCTTACCAGGCCCACGCTCGCACTCTGGGTGGCGACTGCTCGAGGAGCGCGCACGAAAGTGTAGCATACGACACCTCGCCTCCCGACGCACGGGGGCACAGCTGCAAAATCGAAGCTCGGGATCAGCTTGACCAGTCCCAGGAGTCAACCAAAAATGCCTTCGCGGATCGTTCGGTACAGCGGCCTCTTGGAATCTCATGTGAGCAATCTTGGCGCTCTCCTTGGGCCTTTGGGAGCTCTTTGGGAGCCGTCCTGGTCCCGACCCCAGTTTTCGGCGACGGTTGGAGCAATTCCGAGAATGCCGTCGCATGTGGTACATCGGCCGTTCCTGGGGGATGTTGGATTGCTGTGAGTGATGCCCTCCTGGCGTGGAGTAGGCGCCTGGAGGAAACAATGAGGTGGGGAAGGAGGAGGAGGAGTGGCAGAGGAGTGATATGACAAGCACAGCATGATTATGATCAGGTGTTCATATTGGTTATGATGATGGGCACGGTGATGGTGATGATGTTGGTGTTGATGTTGCTGATGATGGTGATGACGATGGTTGTGGCGGTGATGAAGATGTTGGTCATGCTGATTATGCTGATGATGGTGGTGCTGATGCTGATGGTGTTGATGGTGATGATGATAGTAGCGATGGTGGCGGTAATGATGATGGTATAGATGGTGACGATGGTGGTGGTGGTGGTGGCGATGATGCTGATGGTGTTGATGATGACGGTGCTAATGTGAAAAGTAAGGTGGTGGTGATAATGAAAATGATGTTGATGTTGATGCTGGTGATGGTGATGATGATGGTGATGTTGTTGATGATGCTGCTGATGACGATGCCGATGACGATGATGGTGGTGGTTGTGACTGTGAAGATGACGATGGTGCTGATGCTGGTGGCGGTGATGATGTTGACGATGATGGTGGTGATGCTCATGATGTGGACATGGGGATGAAGATGATGGAGATGCTGATGATGATGCTGTTGATGATGACGGTGGTGATGACGATGATGCTGATGGTGATGGTGTTGATGGTGGTGATGATGATGGTGGTGGTGATGGTGATGGTGATGGTGAGGGTCATGATGATGGTGGTGATGGTGATGGCGATGATGACGATGATGACGATGTTAACGACGACGATAACGATGCTGATGACGATGATGGGGAGGATGATGAGGATGATGAGGATGGTGGTGATGATGGTGATTATGGTGCCGTCTTGGGGCTGTCCCAGGCTCCTGTGGATCAGTCTTGGGGCTTCTTCGAGGCCCTCTTGGGGCCATCTTGGGCCGTCGTGGAGTCGTCGTGGGCCGTTTTGCTGCCGTTTGGGCCCGTCTTGGGTCCCTCTGGAGGCTCTCTTCGGCCAACTCGGGAGGTTCTTGAAGCCGTCCAGAGGCTCTCTTGGGGCTCCCTGTGGGCACCAGTGGGCTTTCGAAGACCACGAGTGAGCCGATATTGGACCGAAGATAGTGGAGGAGGGCGAAACAACTATTTCAAAACCACCCGAGAAAGAATGTCTGGAGACTTCTGATGGTCCTGGAGAGCGTCTTGGGGGTGTCTTGGTGCCTCTTGGAGGCCCCTTTGGATTTAATGGGCGCTTCTGAAAGGCTGCTGGGTGCCACCTTGGCGGCCCTGGTGGCCTGCATGGGCCGTCTTGGCAGTCACCTTGGGGCATCCTGGGCGCCTCGGAAAGCGCCAACGAGGCGTCGGGGCGCCCATGCGCCCTCGGGAGAGAGGGGCGATGCATGCGGCACTCCGTGAGGCTCCTCCTCCTCCTCCTCCTCCTCCTCCATTCCTTCCCCGTAAAAATATATTTTCCCTGTCGCACCCCGAGGCCAGTTTTTAGGGCGGGCCGGGCGTTTCGCCTGAGACCTCCCCACCACTTATGACACTGAAGCTTAAAAAGTGACAACAGTTTCACAGCTGGTGGGAGGGTGGTTTTCAACGTGCGGCTCTCTCCTTAGCTCCGCGCACATTCGTTTAAAACATGTGCAAGAGCTTCACGGATTGAGGGCGGGTCGTTTTCAACATGGGGTTCTCCCCTTAGCGCCGCGCACACTCCTTTTTCAAAGTTTGCAAGAGTTTCACGGGTTGAGGGCGGCTCCTTTTTAATGTGTGGCTCTCGCCTTAGCGCCGCGCACATTCGTTGTAAACATTTGCAAGAGCGTCACGGGTTGAGAGCGGTTCCTTTTCAAAATGTGGCTCTTGCTTGTATCGCCGCGCACATTTTTTTTCAAGAGCTTCACGGGTTGAGGGCGGGTCGTTTTCAAAATGTGGGTCTCCCCTTAGCGCCGCGCACACTCGTTGTAAACAGTTGCAAGAGCTCCACGGGTTGAGGGCAGCTCCTTTTCAATATGTGGTTCTCGCGTTACCGCCGCGCAAATTCGCTTCAGAAATTTGCAAGGGTTTCACGGGGTCCCATGATCAACGTACCAGAAATAGTGTTTTGGAAGGATTCAGGATTACGCGGGCGCAACATTCATGTTGATTCGCTGTGTTGAAGTCCCAAGAATGGCGTTCTGGCAGGATTCTGGATTCTCAAGACGCAGCAGTCAGGTTGATACGTGGCGTGGACATCCCGAGAACAATATTTTGGCACGCTTCAGGATCTTCAAGTGTTGTCTTCCAACGAGGCAGTTCCCGCAATGGAAATGAGCCGTTGTTGGGGCCTGTGAAGAGGGAGCTTGGATGGAGGGTTAATTCCGACATCGTTGATGACTCTTGGGTTTCCACTGGTCCTCCTCCTCCTCCTCCTCCTCCTCGTCCTCGACCTCCTCCTCCTCCTCCTCGAGAGCGGGGGGTCCCTTGCGAAGACTGGCAGAAATCCTACCAAGCAGCGCTTGGCAATTCTTCCACGCCTCAACGTGCCAGGGGGCGCGGTGGCGGATCTTGTTGCCACACCGCCTGAAGGTTTGACGTGGATGGAGGGGCAAGAGTCCAACTAAGAGCGAGAGAGGACGAGGCTCAACTGGCAGGATTCAGGAAGAGGAGGCAGACGAGGAGCAGCGGCAGGAGCGACCGAAGCACCAGATGAAACAGCGGCTCTCCGGTCGACGGCCGGCGGACCTCTCGCCTCTGCCGCCTGTCGGGCGGACCGCGTCGTCGCAGAGCGCCTCCGAGGGCATGGTGCAGGCCGGCTGTGCTTCAAGCGTGAAGTCGTCGCCGTCGACGTCTCCCTCGTCGTCGGCGGCGCCTCCGTGGCATCGTACCCACTCGCGCCTCATGCCTGGCAGCCGTTGCTCGCCGCGCCGCGAGCTCCTGGGGCCTTCGCAGGATCGATCCGGCCCGAGCAGCGAGGCGCGAAGCCGAGGGCTCGCAGAGGGGAAGCAGGCCCAAGGTCGGGTTAGGATTAAGTCGGGCATGTCCCTCTACAGGAGGAACATCCAAAAATAGTCCAGAAATAGTCTGGGGACAATTTTCAGATTTTTTGGCTATTCTGAGCATTTTTCATCAATTTCCCATTGTTCCTCCAAAATCCGCCTGCAGGAGGACATGCCCGACCTAAGGTTAGGAAGCAGATGTAGTTGGAGGCTCCTGTTTCCTTCCTCCAGGGGCCGTCCAGCACAGTCTTCCTCTGGATCCCCCTCCGTCTGGCCCCGCCTCGCCTTTCCGAACGCCCGATGGAGGTGGGGTTGAGGGGCCCAGTCGTGGGTCTGGGCACAACAAAGAACCACAACCACAACTAAGCGGACTATTCGGGAGGGCCCCTCGGGGGAGAACCCACCGATCTCGGCTTGAGCCCTCTGGTTGTGTTTGTGGTCGATTTGGCCGTCCTGGGACGCCACGTCAACCACAACCAGTGCGAAGCTGGCTTTGGTGTTCCAACAGTTCTTGGCATGCGCAAGACATCCCCCAGGGTGTGTCCTCGGTGCGGTTGTGGTCTGTTGCTGTCCCCGAAGCAGTTTGTTCACGCTACATCGTCCGTACCACGTGCTCACGACGCGTGGCATCTTTCCTCTACATTGCCCACCATCTGTGGACAGGGCAGGGGGTATTGTTCAGCGACTGTTTGTCCAATCGACGCTGGGATATCGAACACCTCCGTTTGGCATCACCAGGCTGTTGCCATCCTTCACTTTGTGACCCCCCGCCGATGTCACAGCAGCCTGGCCTGCAGGTGTAGGGCCCACGTGGTTGCCTGCTGTCGCGTCTCGCTGGTAGGTCGGCCCTGTAAGGCCAATGGTACCCCTGTGTCCCGTCTACAGCGCTCCATGCTCTCTCGTATTTGCGGCATGGGTTGCCCGCGAGAGAGGGAGAGAGACCTTTTCCCCTCTCGGATGTCCTCTGAAGCCAGTCCTGAGTGCATCGAAGAAGAACCATCGGCATCGACAACCTCTCGGAGGTCCGCACCGACCCAAGAAATCCGCGTGGACCTGCGAAAGCTTGGGCCCTTGCCAATACTCTGCTCCCCCACTGTGCGCACGTGGTCGCGGCGGGAGCTGGCTCGGGCGACGGGGGGAGCGAAGCTCCGGCCCGTGAGCGGGCGCTCCCGCGGCGGCGGCGGCGGCGGCGGCGGAGGAGGAGGAGGAGGAGGAGGCAGGCGACGCCTGCAGATCTACTACTCTACATATGCCCTCGCGTGTATCTCTTCGCACCTCCTGGTCCGGTTAGTTCACACTCTGGACATCTTACGGCTTGCCACATTCTCTGATTCCTTCTGCAGGGAAGGACACCGCAGCCTCAATGCTCATGTCTGCCCGACGTAAACAGGCGGCGGCAGAGGAGGAGGAGGAGGAGGAGGAGGAGGAGAAGGAGGAGGAGAAGAAGCAGGAGGAGGAGGAGGAGGAGAAGAAGCAGGAGGAGGAGGAGGAGGTGGCCTCCCTGCAGGTGTTGTAAGTTTTGCTCCCGCCCGGGATCCTGACCCCTGGAGGTCCCCGGAGGTCCCCAGTGGCACGAAGAGGGCTGACAACGTGCAATAGCCGTCCGAGAACGTCCGAAATCCTTCCTCGATCCTCGGGGAGGGCCAAGGGCAAAAGTTAGCAGGAGGAGGTGGCCTCCCTGCAGGTGGAGCAGCTGGCGGAGAGCCCCCCGCACACCGTCCTGTACAACATGCCCGGCTCGCGCATGTACAGCCTCTTCGCCAAGGCCGCCTCGGGCCCGCCCCATCTTCGCACCCGCCCTGTGCGGCAGGCAGGCCCCGAGGGAGTCGGGCCTCCATGACGTCCGCCTCTCCCGGGCCTCGAGCGACCCCTCGACCCCTCGACCCCTCGATCCCTCGATCCTCGATCGATCCTCGATTCTGGGCGCTCCCTGGGCCCCGGGAGCGTCTAGAAACGACTCGGGATGATTCGCGAGTGCGGCCAGGAGGGAAAGCCCAGCGTTTCGTCCGAGGCCGTTTCATCCGGACACGTTCTTCCGGACGAGCTCCTCCAAAGGTGAAGTCATCCGAAGACGAGTTCGCCCAGGGACGAGATTTTCCGCAGACGAGGTCATCCGGACGAGCCCACGCGGGCAAGTTTATCCAGACGAGTGCGTCCAGAAGAACGTTCGTTCTTCCGGGTGAATTTGTAGCGGAAGATTTTGTTCAGGATGATTTGATCGTCGTGTTCCGCCAAGAGGGGGGTGGTGAATAGGGGGTGATCATGGCCGGGGCCATGATAGGCCCCAGATTTCGTGGCGTCTTTTTTTCTCATCGTTCATATTCATACCTATACGACCACCCTGCGGGTGATAAGGAGGTGAGGGGGGAGGGGGAACCGACGTCTCACTCAATCGATCTCGCTATCGATCTCACATTCGATCTCATTATCGATATCACTATCGATCTCGCTATCGATCTCACTATCGATCTCACAATCGATCTCACAATCGATCTCACAATTGATCTCACATTCGGTCTCACATTCGGTCTCACTGTCGATCTCACTATCGATCTCACAATCGATCTCACAGTCGATCTCACATTCGGTCTCACATTCGGTCTCACTATCGATCTCACTATCGATCTCACAATCCATCTCACATTCGGTCTCACAATCGACCTCACAGTCGATCTCACAATCGATCTCACAATCGATCTCACATTAGGTCTCACATTCGGTCTCACCGTCGATCTCACTATCGATCTCACAATCGATCTCACAGTCGATCTCACATTCGGTCTCACATGCGGTCTCACTATCGATCTCACCTCTCGATCTCGCTATCGATCTCACTATCGATCTCACAATCGATCTCACAATCGATCTCACAATCGATCTCACATTTGGTCTCACATTCGGTCTCACTGTCGATCTCACTAACGATCACACAATCGATCTCACAGTCGATCTCACATTCGGTCTCACATTCGGTCTCACTATCGATCTCACAATCCATCTCACATTCGGTCTCACTATCGATATCACAATCGATCTCACAATCGACGTCATCATCATCATCAACAACACCAACATCATCATCATCATCGCCATCATCAACATCATAATCATCATCATCATCATCATCATCATCATCATCATCATCATCATCATCATCATCATCATCATCATCATCATCATCACATCGACGGGACACCGACGGGACACCGGCGGGACACCGGCGGGACACCGCGCGCCACCGGCCGCCCGGTGGAGAATCATTTCCGTCCGCGCCTCAGCCACAGAGGACACCACGGGGACACCGGCGGGCCGCGCCACCGGCCGTCCGGTGGAGAATCATTTGGTCCGGCCGCGCCTCAGCCACAGGAGACTTTCCTCTCGCCCGCCCACGCAGCTTCGCCTCGCCCGCACGCACGGCACGCACGAACACGAAACCGAAATCGATTTCCCGGTAGGGGGGCTCTCCGTTCCACTTCGATCTCACCCCCTCACCTCCGATTATTATTATTTGTGTTATTATTCACATCATCATTCGTAATAGTATGATTCGTAATGATACAATTATTATATATTTATAAAACAGATGTGTTTAACTTCTTCTGAGAAAGGGAACCCAACACGCAACACGCAACGTGTTGAAACAGAGCTGCGCGCAAGGGTCAGGCAGTTATTCTGTAGCAGCCCTGGCCCTCGGGGCCGGGGCTCCAGTTAGCCCTTGGCTAGGGCTGGATCCAGCGGCGCGCCTCTGCCACGCGCATCTCCGGTCAAAACGGATGCGGCTAACCGGCTCCCAGCACAGAACAAAATCGCCCGTCCCTCTACAGGAGGAATATTCAAAAATGCGCGCTTGCACCTGGCTGGAGCGTTGCTGCGCAGATTCCCCGAGCGCGGTGGCGGACATGCACGGCGGCGCAACTGCCCCTACTCGCCGCGGGCCATCGTGGTCCGACCGCCAATCTGGAGGCGTCTTCCCCCGCCAGGGGCTCCCAACTCCAAACGGGGAGGCCACAACACGCCAAATGCGCAAACAGCTGTCAGAAGCTGACCAGAAAGCGCGGCCGAAACTCCCGCCACCGATTGGGGCCAGGAGGAGAAGGAGGAGGAGGAGGGGGAGGAAAACAGCGACAGGAGGGGAGGGGGGAGGCAAAGGCAGCAGCAAGCAAACGCACGCGTGGGGGCGGGCGGGGGGCGGGGGGGGGGGCGAGAAGCGCCGGCGACGCTCGGGGGGACGCTGTGGGTCGTCGTGGGTCGGGGGTCGTCGGGGGGGGCGTGAGTCCGCGGGTCTGGGTCAGGGGCCAAGGGGGCGTGGGCCTGGGGGTCGTGGGTCGGCGGGTCGGGGGTCGTCGGGGTCGTCGTGGTCAGAGGGTCTGGGGGTCCGTAGGCAGCTCACACGGCATCCGCCGTGGCGGCTGCCGTGGCCGCGGCCAGGCGCGCGGCCGTCGCGCCCGTTCGCGGCTGAAGGCGTCGCAGCACTGCCCGCGCATTTTCCCTGTGCAAGGAAATTGAAAGTCGCTGGGCAAGCTGGTCGGCCGCGAGCGCGGCGTCGTCTCCAGTAGCGTCGGCCGCGCGCTTGGCGAGCACCGCGAAGGCGCGTCGCGCCTCGCGGCCCCAGCCGCCGCCGTGGGTCTAGATACCATCGGTATGAACGCCAGGCCGGCCTCAGAGCATCTGCGCGCCGTGTCCAGGTGCAGGCGCTTCTGCTCCTCGTAGCGGGTCGCTGCCGCGTCGCCGCCGCCCTCCGCGGCCGAAAGTGCGAGCAGGTCCGCGCGGAGGCCCGAGGTCACGGCGAAGTCCCACGCCGCCGGCGCGCCGCCTCGCCAGCGCGGGACGAAGACGTCCGCGGGGCGCCTCCCGTCGCCGTCCAGGTCGTCGCCGCCGGCCTCCCCGGCCTGGGGGCCCTCGCCGGGCGCGCGCGGCGGCAGCAGGCCCGGGCGCTCGAGTTCCGCCCCGGCGTAGCCCGCGGCCACCGCCTCGTGCCAGGCCTGGTTCCGGAGGCAGTTGTGGCGCTTCGTGCGGTCGCCGCGGCAGCTGCAGGTGAGCGCGTGATCTGCGAACACGTCCATCACCTTTCCGCACGCCGGGCAGAAGGCCTCCTCGTCGAGCAGCTGGCGTCGAAGGCGGCGTTGCAGCGCTACCTGCATTAAACTGTGCGGGAAGTCGGTGCCAAGAGCCCGGCTCGGGGGGGCCTGCAGGAAGGCGCCGGCGCCTGGGGCCGCCACCAAGTTGAGGTGGGCTCTCGTGGCTGGCGAGGCGCGCTGCCAGAGCTCGTCGCGGACGGCGTCGTCTACCTTCTCGGAGAGGAGCCGCTGGTCCCAATGCTGGGAAGGGTCGAACTCGATCCGGTCCGCTGGCAGGACTGCGTCGTTGAATGCCTGCGTCGCCGCCGCCAGGCTGCCCCCGTCCCCGCTGTCGGCGTCGTCGTTGGCTGCGTAGAGCTGTCGGCAGAGTTCGGCGCCGCGGGCGCGCGAGGCCAAGTAGGCGGCCGCGGCGTACCTCTCGGAGGAGCGGAGCCCGAGCCCACCTCGGTTGAGTTTGAGCTGCGCTTGCTTCCAAGAGTCTCCAGAGGGGGATGACCCGCTGAGTTGCTCCAGGCAGGCGCGGACGGCAGAATCCATGGCCTGCAAAGCGCCGGTGTGCGCCGTCGGCGGGATCACGCGCACGGAGTAGCCCAGCTTGCAGAAGGAGGCACACTGGCGGAGCAACTGCATGGCCACTTGAGCGTTCTCCAGTGCCCCGAGAGCTTCCAGCAAGCTAGCAGCCTTGCCCACCCTGTCCTGGGTGTGTTTCTCGCAGAAACGGTCGTCTCCCACAGGGGCGCCCAAGAGTTCGAAGCTGTTGTCTTCCCGGAGGCGGAAGCCCCGCGGAAACGCGGTCAAATCCACGTTGCTGTCGGCACCGCTGGCGTGCACCACCTCGCACTTGCCGGGGCCGGTGCTGAGGTCCAGGCCCACCGCGGCCAAGCGCCCCACCAGGCGGCGCAAGAGGCGGGCGACTGCGGGCGCGTCCCCTGCCAGGCAGCCGTCGTCCAGGTAGAAGAAAACCAGGTCCAGGGAGCCGTCGGCTGGGTCGGCTGGTTCGGCGCGTGCCTGTTCTGCGCAGCGCTGCAGGGCGAGCGCAAAAAGCAGCGGGCCGAGCGGGTCCCCTTGTTGGACACCGCGTTCGGAGCGCAAGTCTTTCTTTCCCAAGAAGAGCAGCGTCGGGGCGCCGTAACACCAGTCCACGAAAGGAGCCAGACCAGGGAAATCCTCGTGAACGGCTCGCAGGACCGCCTGCCTGTCCAGTCTGTTGAAGGCGTTCGAAAGGTCTAGCTTCACGAAGACCTTCTGGCGGTCGCCCTGGTTTCGGCTCCACCACTGCCGCGCGACGTGGACTGCTACCTCCGTGCCCCCGGGCACCGCCACCCCGAGCTGCAGTGGCGCCAGCTTCGCGCGTGCTGCGTCCGAGACCTCACTGCAGAGGCATTTGCCCACCAAGCGGCGCAGCGTCTCCCCGACGGCGACTGGCCGCAGACCGCCGTCTTTCTTCGGGAGGGCCGCCAGCGAAACGCCCGCGAAGAACTTCGCTGCGGCGGGGGGGGCTTGACCCCTGGCGAGCGAGTTGGTTAGGCTGTGGAGCTGTTCCAAGACTTCGTCCCTGTGGGCCGTCGTCTGCAGGGCGTCCTTGAGGTGTTGGGGTCGCAGACCAGTCGGCCCCGCCGCAGACCCGCGGGGGAAGGCGCGCACCTCCCGTTCCACAGACGCCGCGTCCACTTGCAGGGCCGCCGCG